CTGCCCTCCCCAGTGTCTGGTCAGCATGGGCAGAGGCTCTGCCCTCTCACCCCAAATGGCCTGGGGTGTCTGCTCGTTTGGCCTGAAATGGAGGCCAGTGGGACCAGTCCTTTCGCCCCAGAAGAGAGGCCATGTTTACCTGCTGAGTGGACGCCCTCAGCGCAAGTCTGAACACGCTGCCCTCTCAGGAGCCGACTCCCTGGGAAATTGCATAGGAACCCGACATGGCTGTTTAGCTGCTCAAATGACCCAAAACAATGGATCAGCTGGTTTCCAACAGGCCGTATTCATAATTTTGGACAATGTCACAGCTGTGCAAAGCCAACCAAATGACTGAAGCCGTTTGGTCAAGGCTACACCCCAGAGGGCACAGCGTTCAGGATGGAAGGCCATCCACAAGCCTGTACCTGATATCCCAGGGCCAAACCCTGGTCACGGGCCCCCAGCTGGAGCCGAACCAAGCACTTGGTGGAGAAAAAGTAATCTGGAGCTTAGATAACAAATAGCAAAGGTAGGTTTCACTGAGCACATGCCTGGATCACCTTTGATCAGCCCTCTGAGGAGTCAGGCAATAAGGATGCTGGGAAACCAGAGGTGCAAGCTCACCACACCTGCCTCTGGGGACCCTGTCCCCCGTCATCCCAGCAGCACCTCTGACCTCACATGCATAGCAGCTGGGAGAAGCTCTGCCTCTGTGCAAGGCCTGTGCAAAGAGACAAACCTCATTTCCCCAAAGGCGGTCAGCTCCTGGCCCCACTGGATTGCTCCGGGTCGGTTCAGCTCAGATCAGAACGGTCACCATCTGCCTCTAAAGCCATAGCACCCCACACCTTCCTGGGCACAAAGAGGGGACACTCACCCACCTTGATCTAAGAAGCCAGAGGAGGCAGCCTCAGGGCGGAAGGGGTTATTTTCCATCTGTTTGTTGTTTCCAAATTCCAGGAACCAATCCAGACCAGCAAGAGTGGGGCCTCTGGGCTGCTGCGAGCGTCCCCTCCAGGGCAGCCCGTGGTGCCTGCCTTCCTGTCGTGTCTGCAGAGACCTGGGCCAGGGAGAGGGCCCCAGAGGGTCCGCGGAGGACCGAGTCCCATTTCCCCACCTCTGCTGCTGTTCCAGCCGGAGCAGCAGCCATTTCACCCCGCCTGAGTGAGAGCAGGGAAGCGGCTGTCTGGAGTCCGCCTTTCGCGAAGCGGGGAAAGCTCTGAGTGCAAACGGCAGGGTGACGGTCACTTGCTGGGCTTCGTCTGAGGAGCCAGATTAAGGGGGTGCTGATGACCCTCTAGAGCAGAGGCCCCAGCCTCCAGGGTCTACTGCCTGATGATCAGAGGTGGAGCTGACGTAATAGCAATAGAAATAAAGTGCACGATAAATGTAATGGCTTGAATCTTCCCAAAACCATCCTCCCCAACCCCACCCCCAGTCCACGGAAAAACTGCCTTCCACAAAGCCAAACAGTTGGGTACCGCTGATCTAGAATCTTCTCGGTTGATGGTCCTACCCCGGGGTTGAGAGGCCCCCAGTCCTGCACCCGATGCTAATGTAAGCCCAGGGTCCCCGCGAGGCCTCTTGTCAGATGAAGTCACGCCCAGCTCCTCGGGCCGGTTAGATGTGCCACGTGCAGGAACCTTCCAGCTCACTCTTCATCCTGAGTCTATGTGCTACATTTAGCTCATGACAGAGTCTTTGGGGTCATTTCTTTTCCTCCCCATTACAGACTAGGATTTGCATAAGCTGGTCGGCATTTACATTCAGAATATTAATACGATGTTAAGTAATGGTAAACCATAAATCAGAGAATAACACTCCACTGTGTGTCAAGAAGCCCAGATCTCACATAATTGCCACTTGATATTATGCAGCAACGAACACTGAAATACATTTGAAATTTCTCAGCGAGCATTAATTATCAGTCCTTTATGAGGGAAATCAGAGAAGATTCTGCTTTCCCAGGGACCACTTGCTGAGACCTGGACTGCCGGCTGAGATGATCAGGGGCCCCGCGTCAGGGACCACTGTTAAGACCTGGAATGCCGGCTGAGATGATCAGGGGCCCCACGTCAGGGACCACTTGCTGAGACCTGGAATGCTGGCTGAGACGATCAGGGGCCCCGCGTCAAGGACCACTTGCTGAGACCTGGAATGCTGGCTGAGATGATCAGGGGCCCCGCGTCAGGGACCACTTGCTGAGACCTGGACTGCCGGCTGAGACGATCAGGGGCCCCGCGTCAGGGACCACTGTTAAGACCTGGAATGCCGGCTGAGATGATCAGGGGCCCCACGTCAGGGACCACTTGCTGAGACCTGGAATGCCGGCTGAGATGATCAGGGGCCCCGCGTCAGGGACCACTGTTAAGACCTGTAATGCTGGCTGAGATGATCAGGGGCCCCGCGTCTAGCGATCGCCGATGCAGTCACAACGCCTTTACGGTGGCCCCACGGCCAGGCCCTGAGCAGGTGACCACCCCACCCTCCCTGCCGCCGCACCGACGGCCTCCCCCCAGCTCTGTTTCCCGCCTCTCCTGTGGGGACACCCGGCTACCTTCCACTTGGTGATTTTTTTCCTTACTGACTCTGAGATTAATTTGCCTTACAAGTGTAAAATATTCTACTTTCAAGTCAGTCCCTGTTGATTTGTATAATCACACTGAGTTCTCTCCGCTGGCCGTATTGATCTTCCATTACCTCTCTATCTCAGAAGCTACCTATAATGTCTTTATGGTTAATAAAGGGCTTCCTGATTGCCCTTAATTAGCTTTGTTAGTTGTCGTTACAAATTTAGGATTGTTATTTACATATTGTTTTATGCAAGGACTAATTCCGGGAAAAGATCAATTAAACGCCCCTGGTGGCCCCGCAGAAAGGAGAAAGGAGAAGAAAACTAGGCAAATGAGGGGCTTTTCTTCGGTTCAGCCGTGAGGGTCTCTGGGGGACCCTGCCTGCTGGCCCAAAGGCGGACAAAGGCAGGAGCCACGGGGTCTCCACCCGGGGCCCCGTCTTGGACTGACCTGCCCCTGTGCGAGTCCTGGCGCCCACGGGTTAGGGTTAGGGTTAGGGGTAGGGGTTAGGGTTAGGGTTAGGGGTTAGAGTTAGGGGTAGGGGTAGGGTTAGGGTTAAGGGTTAGGGTTAGGGTTAGGGGTTAGGGTTAGGGGTTAGAGTTAGGGGTAGGGGTAGTGGTAGGGTTAGGGTTAAGGTTTAGGGTTAAGAGTTAGGGTTAGGGTTAAGAGTTAGGGTTAGGGTTAGGGTTAGAGGTTAGAGTTAGGGTTAGGGTTAGGGTTAGATTTAGGGTTAGTGGTTAGAGTTAGGGTTAGGGTTAGGGTTAGGGTTAGGGTTAGGGTTAAGGGTTAGGGTTAGGGTTAAGGTTAGGGTTAGGGTTAGGTTTTGAGGTTAGGGTTAGGGTTAGGGTTAGGGTTAGGGTTAGGTTTAGAGGTTAGAGTTAGGGTTAGGGTTAAGGGTTAGGGTTAGGGTTAGGGTTAGGCTTAGGGCTAGGGTTTGGGTTAGGGTTAGGGTTAGGTGTAGTGGTAAGGGTAGGGTTTGTGTTAAGGCTTAGGTTTAGGGTTAGGGTTAGGGTTATGTTTAAGTGTTAGGGTTAGTGTTTGTGTTAAGGTTAGGGTTAGGGTTAGGGTTAGGGTTAGGGATAGGGTTAGGGTTAGGTTTAGAGGTTAGGGTTAGGGTTAGGGTTAGGTTTAGAGGTTAGGGTTAGGGTTAGGGTTAGGGTTAGGTTTAGGGTTAGGTTTAGAGGTTAGGGTTAGGGTTAGTGTTTGGGTTAGGGTTAGGGTTAGGGTTAGGATTAGGTTTAGAGGTTAGGGTTAGGGTTAGGGTTAGGGTTAGGGTTAGGTTTAGAGGTTAGGGTTAGGGTTAGGGTTTGGGTTAGGGTTAGGGTTAGGGTTAGGATTAGGTTTAGAGGTTAGGGTTAGGGTTAGGGTTTGGGTTAGGGTTAGGGTTAAGGTTAGGGTTAGGGTTAGGTTTAGAGGTTAGGGTTAGGGTTAGGGTTTGGGTTAGGTTTATAGGTTAGGGTTAGGGTTTGGGTTAGTGTTAGGGTTAGGGTTCGGGTTAGGGTTAGGTTTAGAGGTTAGGGTTAGGGTTAGGGTTAGGTTTAGAGGTTATGGTTAGGGTTAGGGTTTGGGTTGGGGTTAGGGTTAGGTGTAGTGGTAAGGGTAGGGTTTGTGTTAAGGTTTAGGGTTAGGGTTAGGGTTAGGGTTAGGGTTAGTGTTAGGGTTAGGGTTTGTGTTAGGGTTCTTCTCTGCTCTGCCGCCTTGCATGCTCCCCTGGCTACAGCCCGCCTCCTGCCTGCGCTGGGCACCTCTTCCCCATTCACTCTCAGATGAGCCCTGCCCAGAGCCCAGCTCCCAGGTCCTGGGGCCCAGCCCTGCCCCAGTCCAGTAGCCTCTCCCCCTTCGCCTTGTCCAGCAGGCGCCAGCGTCCCACTTGTAGATGTGGACACCGCTTTCCTGGGACGCCGGCTCCCAGGGTTCTCAGCCCCCCTCCCCGCAGGACCACATAGCTGCCGCCTGGCTCTGCCGGCCCCATCGCCCTCTGAGACCCTCAGGGAGCCCCTATTCCCTCTGCCTCCCTCAGGTCCTCGGGCCCCTAGAAACTGCTGCCCCAGCTGAGGCCATTTGCTCGGAACCTTGGACCTGAGGGCACCTGGGGGGGTGGGTGCGGTCAGAAAAGAAGAGGCCTGTTTCCAAGTGGAGTGAGTCTCTCTGACCCGAGGGGCCCACAAAGGGCAGGGGGAGGTGGGCTGTTGGAGGCGCCTCAAAGGATGAAGCAACAGCCTCTGCAAGCCCCAGTTCGACCCGACGGGAACCCCCCCACCGCCCGCCTGGGGCGCTCACGCCTCCCTCGGGGCCCGTGTCACGGGCTGTGCGTCCTGGTTTGCACCCCACTGCCTGGGGAGCCTCTGAGGCCCTGGCCTGCTGGGGGGCATGTCCACAGCCTGTCGATAGTCTTGGCCCTTAGCAGAGAGAGTTGCTCATGAGGGAGACTCAGCCAACACTCACATGAATGGACGAATGACCCAGGTGTTGCCTTGGCGCCTCTTCCCCCCAGCCCCTGGCAGACTAGGCTCCTCAGTGCCCCTGTGGCCTCGCTTGGAGCCGATGTGCGCCCTGGGGTGTCAGAGAGAGATCAGCCACGCCTGTCTCCTGCCAAAAATAAGGCCTGACGCTGGCTCTCACCACCTTGTTCACAGATGCTTGCACTTTGATCACTTAAGACCTCAAGGAGGAGCTACCCTGCTGGTCCAGTGGTTTAGAAGCTACCTTGCAATGCGGGGGAGGTGGGTTTGATCACTGGTTGGGGAACTAAGATCCCACAGGCTGCAGAGAGACTAAACCTGTGTACTGCAACTGGAGAGACCTCGTGTCACCACAGAAGACCCCTGCATGCCACGACCGAGACCCCGCGTGCCACGACCGAGACCCCACATGCCACGACTGAGACCCCATGTGCCACAACCGAGACCCCGTGTGCCACGACCGAGACCCTGCATGTCACATCCGAGACCCTGTGTGCCATGACTGAGACCCCACGTGCCACGACTGAGACCCCGTGTGCCATGACTGAGACCCCACGTGCCACGACTGAGACCCCATGTGCCACGACTGAGACCCCATGTGCCATGACCGAGACCCCACGTGCCATGACTGAGACCCAACACAGTCAGATCAGTTCATTAATTAGCTTAAAAGAAAAAAGAAGACTTCAAGGACAACCCTGAAAGGCAGCAAATCTGCATGTTGATGCCAAGTCCACCCCAGCTGTGCCTCCCCCAGGCTTCATCAGAATGGCTTCCTGATCCCTGTGGCTGCACTGACCCCAGATTCAATCTGGCCTGGGACCAAATCAGACAGCAAATCAAGCTGCCAGCTGGCAGTGGCTAGGGGATTGGGGTGGGGGAGGACCAGCCGCCGGCTCCTTGCCCAAGTCCCAGGGGCCAGGACCCGGCAGGGAGGGAGCAGGAGGGGCACCCTCCACGACCAGCTGGAGACCACGCAGCAGCGAGGCCACATCACCGGGCTAGACCCTGTACGTGGGGATAGAGCTGCCTCCCGGGCAACATGTCCCACCCAGCTCTGAATCTGAAACTTTGCAGAAGACAAGTTCCCCACTGTCTTGATAGGGATACTTATCACATTTTCACAGACAACATCAACATGATTTTAAGTGTCAGACATCTTTAATGTCTGTATTTCTCGGGAAGCGACAGTGAACATTTCTCTGTGAAGGGCTGTTTCCTGTAAGGAGCAGATAAAACATCCCCTCTAATCAGTTCTCAGGTGAGCATCCTTTCCTTGTGCTGCTCCAGCGTCCAGCAACCACCTTCCTGCCTGCAGAGCCATTTAAGGGTCCGGCCTTAAGACGCCGTTCTGCATTCCAGCTGATCCAAATTCCAGCTTTGAAAACAATGCCCACAGTCTCTTGCTGTTCCCTGATTGTTATTTGGGTTCTAATTTCTCTGCTTTTTTAGTTCCAAATCTGGAAAACTGACTTGGGGAATCCCCTCTGTGAAGGCAAGTTTGTGGAGACCAGACCCCAGAAGGACAGGCCAGCAAAACGGGCCGGAAGTGGGGCATCTCAGAGGCAGGTGGTGTCCCCAGAAGTCAGCCCACAGACGGGGTTGGGGGCGAGGCCTTATTTTCACAGTCGGAGCTGGATTGTGTAAAAGTGAACAAGAAGACAGCAGTCCACGAGGCCGACTTTCCTGAAGGACAGCCTGCTCTGAACGCACCTCCCACCCTTCAGACTGGCCCCTTCCCTCCACGGAAGACCTTCCCACGGGGCAGATAGAGACCTCCTTACTAGTAACACACCCACTTTCCTGTCTTATTACGGCTCCTCTTCCACTCAGAAATGAACCAGGCCAACAAAGCCCTGCTGTTCAGCCCAGGGAACTCTGCTAAATATTATATAACAACATAACTGGGAAGGGAATGTGAAAAAGAATAGATATATGTGTGTGTATAACTGAATCGCTTTGTTGTACACCCGAAAGTAACACAACATCTTTAATCGACTATGTGTGTGTGCACGTCGTGTCCCCGTTTTTGGACCCCGTAGACCATAGCCCACCAGTCTCCTCTGTCCATGGGATTCTCCAGGCAACAATACTGGAGTGGGTTGCCATGCCCTCTTCCAGGGGATCTTCCCGACCCAGGGGTTGAACCCATGTCTTTTATGTCTAACCTACATTGGCAGACAGGTTCTTAATCACTAGCACTCCCTGGGAAGCCCTAATCAACTATGCTCCAACATAAAATAAAAAGTTAAAATAAAAAATGAACCAGTCCTCTCAAGACCACAAACCTCACCACTGAGGGTTTGCTAAAAGAATGAACTCAGAAATTCAAACCAGCTCTGAACTGTGATCTCAAATGAAAGGAAAACACCTCAGTGGTTCTACAAGCTGCTGTCTTAGTAAATGTATTATTCTGAGAACCATAGATTAATCCCAGAGAGCCTGGAAGATTCATTGCTACTTACTTGTATTTACTGCCTCCAAGCAAGCCTTGGAGTTTCTTGGGTTCCTAGAAAATATTTCTCAGAAATGCCATTTCCGGACTGAAATTATGATCCATGTAAAGGAACCATGGTCCCAAGGCACCTGGTAGCTTTAAAGATGATTATAGATGCAAGGAAGTAAAGGAAGCCTCATCGGGCCCTTGGGTGGAGTGAGCCGTGAAATGCCACCTTGCAACCAGCCAACGGGACCAGAATTACAGGAACAACCTCAGTGATGGCAGAGGTGCCATGAACACTGATGCCAGTGATGGCGGAGGTGCTGTGGACACCGACGCCGATTCTGCCTCAGCTCCCTGGCCGAGCCTTCTACGCCCAGAGAACTGGACTCAGGAGGTGACCACACTTGCTGAATGCCCACAGACAGCGGGAGTGACCGATGAAAAGTCTCAGCTTTGGAGTGAGGCTGGTGGACGCTTAGCTCCCAGCTCGGCCTTCTACCAGCTGTGTCCCTGGACAAAACATCCGTTTCTACAGTTGAGGATAAAGTTACCTGGAGCACCTTCAGTCACTGAGCCAGGAGGACCACGCATGAAACCCTGGGAACACAGGAAGCATCTGCTGGATTTCACTGGTCTTTTCTGGGAGCTCCTGGACCAGGACAGGGGGGCTCTGCGTTCTGGCCGTGGGGAGGACAAGGTGGTCTGTATCCACACACTGGCCAGTGGGGGGCTGGAGGCCGGCTGATTGCCCTTCCGGGGGGGACAGAACAGAACCGCCCCCCAGCCTGGAGCCTCCTTGGCAGCCCTGCAGCACCATCGCCCCTCCTGGGTGCAGCTTCCTCTGCCCCTCACCCCCAACCCCGCCGTGAGCTGGAAGGGGGAAGGCCGTCCACCCCCCAGTCTCTGGGCAGGAAGGCAGGGCCCACGGGGGACAGCCTCCTGCCTGCCATGCTCCTGTTTGTCCATCGTGACTTCATCTCACTGCCGGGTGTCCACGGGGGCGCCTGGGTCCTACAGCCTCAGCGTAGGACCCGCCGCCGTGGACTCGGCTGCCCTGGGTGCGGTCGCTGCGGGACAGTGGCCGGCCACTCCTTCGGTCCTGGTCTCCCGTCGCAGCCGGCTCACACTTACACGGGCATCTCAGCTTCAAAGGGAAAAGCTGGTAGCGACGGCTCTTCCGTGGTGGCTTTCTGCTTATCTTTCTTTGTCTTTTCTGCTCCCTCTGTCACATTTGTCCAGGTTCCCTAGGTCCTGGGAAAGCCCCAGGGTAATTAAAGTCGATTCAGTCCTTGCTCCTCTGATGGTGAACAAAGCTGCTCGCATCCAGCGAGCTGAGTCTCAGCAGCCCCGCCACACCTCACCCTTCCCGAGGCCACATCTTCAGGGTGTAGGTCAGAGTCAAGGTCACCATCTCCACGGCCAGTGTGCACGCGCAGGCTTGGGACCCTGTTCCCGGTGAGTTGCTAGCCGGTCCTGTGGCCTGCAGGCTGCAGTGTTTTAGAGGAAGCGTGGGTGTGATGGGCACCGGCCCTGTCTGCACCGTCGGCTCCCGGGGCAGCAGTGGGTGCTCCGACCTGGCCACTTGTACTCGGAGACTCGAGTGAGTGAGGACCAGAAGGGCCGCAGAGACGGAAGGAGCCAGTGCTAATAAGCGCAGAGCCTGAGCCAGCCCATGAAGACAAGTTAATTTCACTCTCTCCCCGGGAACATGCTTTCCATGCACCAGAGCTCGGAGCGTCTGCAGACGGAAGCTGCGGGAGGGGGCCCCTCGCCAGGGCCCCGGTTTAATTAAAACAAAGGCGCCATTGTCAGCTTGTGCTTATCCTGAAATAGCCGGGCCTCACTGCAGGATCATCCCTGCAAATCAACGTTTAACTTAACATTGAAAACTGATCATTTTTAAATAAAAGGCAATGTGAAGTATTATCTTGGCTTTAAAACATTTCCAAGGGATCTGGGAGGAAATCACTTTACTTCCCCTGTTTACTTGTAGGTCTTTGCCCTTCCAAGTGGAAGGAAATCTTCTCTTTTTTCTTCTCTTTAAACATTCTTAACAGTCAATGTCTATCCTTCCAGCTTGTAACTTTTTAAAGTCTCCCTTACATGACCATGCTATTCGACTCAGTCTGTACCTCCCCTACAGACAGGCTCCTAGTGGTGGAAGTGGGGCCCTGGGGGACCCCCACAAATCCAGACAGGAGAAACCAAAATCAGAGAGCTTCGTGATCCACCCACCGGGAAGCCTGCTTTCCTTAGAAAGGCTGTGTCTTCAGCAGCTGTGCTCAGGACTCTCCGTGGCCCTGGAGAGAGTTCTCCATCACACACGAAACAGTAATATGGACCAGATGACACTGGTGAGGTTGTGGACCCCCAACAGTGCCCGGGACCCTGGAACCTCAGGCCCGAGTCAGCCTGGCCCCGGGAGGAGGAGGCAGGGCAGCACCTGATTCCTGTGAGCACCAAACCCGCAGAACGGCCGTGCAGGGCCAGGCCAGCCTGGGGGCAGGAGGCACGTGGGGAGGCAGAGAGCCTGGACCGACCAGAGGGCCCCAGAGGCCACGAAAGCAGCCTCTGCCATCGAAGGGCCGCCCCGGCAGACGGCCGATGTCCTTTCAGGAAACAAAGAGTGACACGGCTCAAGCCTTTGTGAAAAGCTTGGAAATGTTAAGCTGATAAGTAACTGTGAGTGCCCATCACAGCAGCAAAGGTGGGTACTTGTGTGTGTGCACGCTGAGTCACTAAAGTTGTGAATCTTTGCAATCACATGGACTGTAGCCCACCAGGCTCCTCTGTCCATGGGGTTTCCCAGGCAAGAGTACTGGAGTGGGTTGCCATTTCCTTCTTCAGGGGACCTTCCCGACCCAGGGATCGAGCCCAGGTCTCCCACAGTGAAGGCGGAGTCTTCACTGCCTGAGCACCCAGGGAAGCCCGGAAGGTTACTTGACTCCCCTGTAAAGCAGGAAGGAGCACGCTGCCCGAGGGAGGACGTGAAGACATAAAGGAAGGCGTCTGACGGGCACCCTGCCTCACAGCCTGCTGCACCCACTCCAGGCCAGAGAACATTCTGGAAGGTCATCTGCGGGAGCGTCCAGCGCAGGCTCTGCCCACAGCCATGCCGGTGAAGGTCCACGTGCTTCCTTCCATGAAACCCTCCACCTCAAGGTGCTCCCTGCTGGGCACACCGCAGTCCTCCACCGACCCGGCCCTCACTGTTTGACGTTATGATTTCTTATCTTCTCAGAGCTAAACTTTCTCGTCCCCCATCCCCAACTCCAGGGAATCCCCATCACCCAAAGGTGGGGATCAAAAGAGCTGCTGGGCGCCCACCCAGAGCCACGTCGAGGCCGCTTTCTCTTTCAGACTGAATCTGTAACAACCTGATGACTGAACTGAAACGCCACTAAAATGACTAGAAGCGGGCTCAGGAGATGATGCTAAGTAATTGTGCGCAGACATTAGCTTTAAGGAGAAACAAAGCAAAAGCTTAAGCATTTGTAAAATGCAAGGCAGAGCTTCACCGGTGTTTCTGAGAACCTAGTCCGTGCTGGGCTCTGGGGCTGGGGCACGCCCTCGCTAAGCCGGGACTTGGCGTCCTAGTGGGCGAGGGCGGCACAGGAGGAAGGGACCACTCCCCAGGACGGGACACCTGGGGCCCCATCGCAGCTCAGGTCCCAGGCGCTGCTTCCGACGAGGTCACCTGGGCCCCGGTCTGCTGAGCCACAGCGCCAGACGCAGGAGAAGATGCGGCGTCAGCAGAGAGAGCCAATCTTCCGAGGAGTCTGGAGCCGGGGCCAGACCTCGGTGTGACCCCTGGGCAGTCTCAGATGCAGCCCCTGCAGTGACCGGCCCGCCTCCTCCAGCTGAGGGTCTGTCCGGAGACGCCCGACAGGGTGCCCGCAGCTGCCCACACCCCAAGGGCAGGACAGGAGCACCCAGGCCCTGCAGGGAGAGGAACGGCTGGCACCAGAGCCCTGCGGGGTGGAGGGGGGCAGGGACACAGCCACGCCCAGGGCTCGGGGGCGCCGCCCCAGCCCCCAAGGGCCTCTGTTGAGAAGAGTGGAGGATAGGGTGGGGCGGAGAGTGGGGGAGGGAAGGGGAGGTGGGGCGGGGTTCCCGTCTCTGAGCCCCACACTGGTCCCAGGGTCATTTCCCTCCTTTCACGAAGCTGTCATTATTCTCATCACAGGTGGGGAAACTCGGGGTCCCCAGCCTGCCGTCTCTTAGCCCCAAATGTCCCCACCCCGTCCCCCTGGGATGGTAGGTCTGTGGGACCCCTCTTCCCCTCCCCAGTGTCTGCCCTGTCCAGAAGAGAGACCATGGGCTGGACAAGGACCCTCCACTTCTACTAACCGTCAGAATGGCTTTTCCCTGGAATTAGCTTCTGTGACTGACAAAAGGGGTGTGATTTAAACACAGACAGATTTGCTGGTGAGCATTCAGCGCTCTGTGACAGATGAAGCTCTTTATCCACCTTCTGAGCATCCTCAGAACAAAGAGCCCGGCATTCCCACCATCACCCCGTCCACCGTCACAGAGATAATTGTGTTTCTGCAGCTTTTCTAGTTTTCTCCCAAAAAAACTCTCCCTTTATGTGGGGCTGTTCCTTGTACTCTAAGCATGCACGCCAGCTGGAAGCTGTAATTTACTGCTCAATTACTTGCCAGTCTCCTAAGAACACTGCTTTTTCCCCAGTGGTTGTTGCTTCTTATGAAAAGTTACTCCCCTTTTTTTAATCCATAATTTTCTTTAGTGTCCCTAAACCTCATATTATGTTTTGCCCTTGATTATTTTATCAAAATGATGCTGTAATTTCTGTTGCTGGAAGGGACAAATGACATACACCTGTAACCGGGGGCCGATGTATGTCAGGATCATAAACGCAACGTGTCAGCTTGTGAATATCCCAGTCCTTTCCACGTCTATATGTTCGCCATGTGCCAGGGCATTGCTAGGAGCCAGACAGCTCACCCAGCGGGGATCAGAAGAGAGGAGTCCAGCGACCCCAGATGTGGCAAGAATGAGGGTGGGGGGCATGGGAGAGGTGCCCCCAGCTGCGGGGAAGTTCCCGGGTGTTTGCAGTGATGAGAGGGGTGAGGAAGGAGTTGGCCAGAAGTGGGAGGACGGAAAAGCTCCCCAGGTGAGGTGCTTCCCGGGTGAGATGCTTCCCGGGTGAGATGCACGGCATGTGCAAAAGTTCCAGGACAGAGACAGGAATGATGCCCAGGGGCATCTGAGGAGCAGGGGCCAAGCGAGGCTGAAGGCGTCATTCAGGCAGCGTACACAGAGCAGCCGCAGAAGAGGGAGAGGGAGACGGGAAAGGGTGAGATGCGGACCTGGAGGGGCCAACAAGGCTGCTGGGCCAGCAGGAGAGACGGCGGCGGCTGTCCCGTCGCACAGAACTGGGGCATGAGGGCTTCCGGTCCGCTCACAGGGAAAGTGGGCTTCACATGCCACTTGCACCCCATTTAGGTTCATCACCCTAAATCGGGGATGATTCAGAGCTGAGTTCAGAGAGGGGCTGGGGGCTGGACCACTTCCCACCAAATCTGTGACGTTGCAAGCAATACTCAAGTTCGTCCTGCCGAATTAGAGGATGTTTCCTCCGGAAACGGCAACATGCGTCTAGGTTTCCCGTGGTTTCTTTCATGTGTGAGACAACAGTGACTTGATGCTACGCGGGGAAGGGGAGGGGCCTTGTGATTAAGCAGACGAGAGCTGTGGCCCTAACTCTCTAATGAGGCCAGCGAGGTTCTGGGCTGTGCGGTGTTGTTGCTCCTGACGGTTTTTTCTTCACTGGAGATGAAAAGCACCAGCCCCCAATCACATCTGATTGAAAGAAACACAAAAGAGAGAAGATTCTTCAGAAATGAGCAGCCCTGCTATCCACCGTGCGTGACTCAAAAGGACGAGTGACGGGAAACCGGCCCTCAGAGAAGGATGCGGGGAGGCCAGGCGGCGGCGGGGTGTGGCAGGGCTGCCCGGGCGGGACGCAGAGGGACCGCCAGCTCAGAGCAGGAGGCAGCAGGCATCCTGCTGCCCTTGATCATGGCCCGGGATGGCGTGTCAGATGGCCCCGAGCATGCAGGCCACTGCCCCTCTGCCAGGGGTCCTGGAAGAGGGCTCGTCCTTCCACCTTTAAACCCAGGCTTCTGTCTCCCTTCCAGGCAGACACGCAGGCCTGGAAGGATGCAGCCACTTTGGGGTCTTATTTTCTTCTCCCCTTCCCCTTAAGCCTTCTGCCCCCTCTCCCCATCAGCCCCCACTCCTGCCTGTCGCTCTCCCCTCCTCCCAGCCCACCCGGCCAGCAGTCCACTGGTCGGCCCTTGGCAAGTGCTCAGAGCACGGAAACGAACAGGTGCATCAGTGGACGGTGGGCGACGCCCACCTGCTCCCACTAGTGCTGTGCTCTTGCCATGGAAACCACGGGGGATGGACAGAGAGGCTCAGGAGTCACGTGACAAGGTCCTGGGACGGCTATGACAAATTGCTATTAATACAAACTAGGTGTACAGAACAGAAGTGTCTTCTCCAGCATTCTGGAAGCCAGACATCTGAGACCTAGGTGTAGGCGGGGTCACACTCCCTTGACGGCTCCAGAGGAGAGTTCTTCCTCTTCCGGCTTCTGGCGGTCCAGGGCTGTGACCACATCTTTCCCAGCCCCGCCTGCATCTTCACGGTTTTCTCCTCTCTGCCCACGTGTCCTCCTCACCTGAGCCCCTTGGGCTCTGACCAGCCTCTCCCAGGCCTCCACCCTCATCCTGATGGTGATCCCCACAACCCCACCACATGGCCTGCTGATTGGCTCCAAGAGGGCTCGCTGAGGAGACAACCCGTCCAAGGTTCTGGGAGAGAAGATCCAGGCTCTCAGCCATGGGGAGGCCGGCCAGAGGGGGACTCAGTTTCCTCTGGGTTAGTCACCAAGCGTAGCCAACTTTCCTTCCCACCAAACAGTGGTCTGAGCCCCCAGGCCACCACTGCTCAATCTTTGATGGTTATAACAAAATGCGTGACATCTCGAATCACGTGAACGGACTCTAAAATTAAAAACAAAATATCACTGACAGTCACTCAAAACAATGACGTCCTTATTAGGTATAAATCCATCAAAACGTGTGCACACGTGTATGCTGGAAACACCTAGGAAGGAAATCAGATACTTTTCTGGTGGTCCGGCGGCTAAGACCCCACGCTCTCAATGCAGGCGCCCCAGGTTTGAGCCCTGATCAGGGAACTAGACCCGACATGTCTCAACTAACACCTGGCACAGCCAAATCAATCAATAAATGTTCTTTTAAAAAAGAAAATAAATCAAGGTAGATCTAAATAAGAGGAGAAATACACTATTCAGAGCACATTAATATGAAGACTCAACATAGTAAAGATGTCAGTTCTTCCCAAATTGATAAACAAATAATTCCCAACACAATTACAGTAAGGTTTTTGTATAGATGTAAACAAATTAATTCAAAAATGCCTCTGAAAAGGCAAAGGAACTAAAATAGCCAAAACTATTTGGACGAGGGGGCACGGTGCAGCAGGAGAAACAGAAGAAGCAGTCAATCCGTTTTGAGACGTATTATACAATTACAGCAATCAAGACTTTGTGGTGTTGGCAAGGGGATGGTGCACTCACTGATCAAAGACAAAACTGAGGAAGGCACCCACAGAAATATACTCATCTGGGTTTTGATAGAAATGCAAAAGCAGTTCAACAAAGGAAAGACAGCCTTTCAATAAATGATACTGGAACATTTGGACATCCATGTAGGGGGAAGAGCTATAAAAGAATACTAGACTGAAGTCTCATGCCTTATACAAAATTTAACTAAAATGGATCATGGACTTAAATGTAAAATGTAAAACTTTAAAGCTATTAGAATAAACATAGGAGAAATTCTTCAGGATCCAGATCTGGTCAGAGTTCTTAGACTTGACATCAAAGGCACAATTCATGAAAAGAAAAAAATCCATGAATTTGACTGCATCAAGATTAAAATTTTTTGCTCTGAGAAAGATACCATTAAGAGCACAAAAGACAAGCATAAGGCTGGGAAAAAATATTTGCAAACCACATATCTAACAAATGATGAGTATCAATGGTTTAAAAAAAAAAAAACCCAGATAATCCAATTAGAAGATGGGCAACAGACATGAAGAGTCCTTTTACTGAAGAGGGTACAGCGCATGATAGCAAATAAGCACGTGAGACGATGTCGTATCAGCAGCTATTAGGAAAATGCAAATTAAAAGCACAATGAGCTGTCACCTATCAGACGACTAACATAAGCATAGTGACACTACCAAACCCTGACAAGTGCGCAGAGGAACTGGATCACTCGTGTATCGCTGGTAGGGATGTGAACAGGCCCGAGCCTCTCAGAAAACAGGCTGTTTCTTATTAAACAAAACTGCAACTACCATCGGAGAAGCAATGGCACCGCACCCCAGTGTTCTTGCCTGGAAAATCCCATGGATGGAGGAGCCTGGTGGGCTGCAGTCCATGGGGTCGCTAAGAGTCGGACACGACTGAGCGACTTCCCTTTCACTTTTCACTTTCATGCACTGGAGAAGGAAATGGCAACCCTCTCCAGTGTTCTTGGTGGAGAATCCCAGGGACGCGGGAGCCTGGTGGGCTGCCGTCTGTAGGGTCACACAGAGTTGGACACGACTGAAGCGACTTAGCAGCAGCAGCAGCAGCTACCATGGTGGTGGTGGTTTAGTTGCTAAGACTTGTCCAACTCTTGCAGCCCCATGGACTAGGGCCCTCCAGGCTCCTCTGTCCCTGAGATTTCCCAAGCAAGAAGACTGGAGGGGGTTGCCATTTCCCTCTGCAGATCTTCCCAACCCAGGGATCGAACCCATCTCCTG